CGGATATCTGTCTCTCTCTCTCTCTCTCTGCCCCTCCCCTGCTCATGCATTTTTTCTCTCTCAAAATAAGTAAACTTAAAAAAAAAGTCAATATTTGTTTTTCCGATCCATGAGCATGGAACGTTTTTCCATTTCTTTGTATCTTCTTCAATTTCTTTCATAAACTTTCTGTAGTTTTCAGCATACAGATCTTTGGCCTCTGGTAAAATTTATTCCTAGGTATTTTATGGTTTTTGATGCAGTTATAAATGGGATCGATTCCTTGATTTCTTCTGCTACTTCATTATTGGTGTATAGAAATGAAATGATTTGTGTACATTGATTTTATATCCTGCAACTCTGGCGAATTCATATATCAGTTTTAGCAGTTTTTGGTGTAGTCTTTTAGGTATTCCTCATAGACTATCATGTGGTCTGTGAAGAGTGAAAGTTTGACTTCTTCCTTGGCGATTTGGATACCTTTTATTTCTTTTTGTTGTCTGATTGCGGAGGCTAGGACTTCAACACAGCATTGAACAACAGTGGTGAGAGTGTAGACATCCCTGTCATGTTCCTGACCTTAGGGAGAAAGCTCTCAGTTTTTCCCCATTGAGGATATTAGCTGTGGATCTTTCATATATGACGTTTACGATCCTGAGGTATGTTCCTTCTATTCCTACATTATTGAGGGTTTTTATCAAGAAAGGATGCTGTATTTTGTCAAATGCTTTTTCTGTCATCTACTGAGAGGATCATGTGGTTCTTACCCTTTCTTTTATTAATGTGATATATCACATTGATTGATTTGCGGATGTTGAACCAGCCCTGCAGCCCAGGAATAAATTCCACTTGATCATGGTGAATAATTCTTTTAATGTATTGTTGGATTTGGTTTGCTAGTATCTTGTTGAGAATTTTTGCATCCATGTTCATCAGGGAGATTGGTCTGTAATTCTCCTTTTTGTGGGGTCTTTGATTTTGGAATCAAGGTAATCCTGGCGCCTCTGTTTACTATTGAACTGCTGGTCACTAAGAAGGACTTGCCAGAGTTTGTAAGTCTTGATATCTCTGTCTTCCTGAATCTGGCTGGCAGGAAAGCAGTCAACTGATTTAGTTTGGCCATATCTACATGATTTCTAGTTAAACCTGGCTTGTATTCTTCAAATGGACAGAACAATAGGAACGCCTGGGTGGCTCAGTCGGTTAAGTGTCTGACTTCCGCTCAGGTCGTGATCTCATGGTTCGTGAGTTTGAGCCCCACGTCGGACACTATGCTGACAGCTCAGAGCCTGGAGCCTGCTTCGGATTCTGTCTGTCCTCTCTCTACCCCTTCCATGCTTATGTTCTGTCTGTCTCTCTTTCTCAAAAATCAATAAGCATTTAAAAAACAAACAAGACCAAAATGACAGAACAACAAGTATTTAAACATTTGATTTTTTAATCTGAAAGTATTCACCTACTTTTAAGTATTTAAGTTCATTTGTTTTAAACAGACATATGGGGGGGGGGGTCTTGGTGGCTCAGTCAATTAAGTATCCTACTTTTGATTTCTGCTCAGGTCATGATCTCATGGTTCATGAGATCCAGCCCTGTGCTGGCAGCATGGAGCCTGCTTGGGATTCTCTCCCCCGCTCGCTGCCACTCTCCCTCGCATCCTCTCTTTCTCAAAATAAATAAATAAGTAAATTGACATGAAAACGTACTTGGGAGTAATGGACATTGAATTCTTGACGAATTACTTCAAAGATGGGAGGGAGAGAAGGGTGAGGAGTTACACAGGCCCCAATTTTATATGTAAAGTTTTATGTGCCTCATCTTTTTAGGAAGTTAAGCATAAGGTTAGGTGGTGGATGTACAGGTATTTAAAAATTTTTTTATTGATATGTTTGTATATTTCACAACTATGAAGTTTAAGTGTTTAAAGTATTTAGTAAAAAATTAACATGATCCTGGTAAAGCTGAGATTCCTTTTTGTGGGGGGGAGGGGGTTCTGGCTTTTATTTATTTTATTTTATCTCATCATGATACGTGTACTCTTTTTTTTTTTTTTTT